CATGGGACCTGTAAAGGGCCCGAAACGTCGGTTTGTTTGAAAAAACAAATATACGCGATTTAAATCCGGAAAAATAGTTTCATTTCCTATGTGTAACAATCGCGAAAACCTAAGAACTCGATATATACTCTGTACTATTAGTGGTTTTCCTTTCATAACCTATAAAATTTCCCAAATTTTAATTTTAAATCCTCTTTCAAATCCTTACACTTAATACTCGTTTGATTGCGATTGTAATTTTCGATTTACTAATCGATTACAAAAGCTTGAATTGAATGAACTTAATGTTAGTCATACATCTATATTTAAAAAGTCAGTAGTTTAGAAAGTTACACTACTCGTCTCATTATACTATGGTTTTAAGGTATAAAACTACGAATTATTATATACAAGATTACACAACTTTTTTCTTTGCAATAAAAGACTTAAAAAAAGAACCAGTAACAAGCAATTTTAAATGTTAGTTTTTTTAAGAAACCATATGTATATAAATATAATATATAAAGATTACAACGCTATTAAAAATTTAGAATATTCCTTGAATCACTTCATAATTATTTTTTCGTATTCAACAATTTTAATTTAAGACGGCAGTCGTGTCACAAAAACTGTCAACATGTTTGTACAGGAAATCAGAAACGTGGTAGAGGAGATCTTAAATACCTTACCTCAATGAGATACACGCGTAAAAATCTGTAGACGAGAGGTGAAGGCTGGACTTAAGTCCATATTTGAGAATTAAGAGCCTATGCACTTGGCGTATTTCATACGCGCCGACGACGCGCGTATCGGTATCAAAATGCGCGATACATACGCGCGACTACCGCGCGTCTGCGGCGCGTATATGCGCAGTTGACGCGTGTCGTCGACGCGTATAAAATACGCCGTGTGCGTAGATGTTGTTACAAACATTGCTTTAGCATAATCACGCAATGGTTATAGACATCAAATCCTATTGTCAATTGTTTTTTACTTAACAGTTTATTTTGACCTTGAGTTTGATATTAAATGCCTAGTTAAGAGCCTGATTTTTTTTAAAACGCTCAGTAGTAAACATTACTACTTGGTAAAGGTTTACTTTACCTCTGACCTATAGATATGACGCATCACTGTTTTCTCCAACGTGTTGTTATATGTTAGTAGATATTTATTATTTATTTCATTCATATATTATGATGTTTAATAATAATATCATATTTATTGCGCCCTCTATTATTATTACTACTTTTAGTTTATCCTATCACCCCAAGGTTGCCTGGCAGAGATTGCTATTTAGCAATAAGGCCGCCTGTTGTACACTGTATTTTTGATTGTTTTTTATTTTTGCTTGTTTATTGTGAATTGAATTGAATTGAGTGTTGTTTAATTAAAAAAGATTTTCAAATTAAAGTAGTTGACCATTTAGTATTGAATTATAGCCTCTACTTTGACGACCTCGGTGACCTTGCAGTTAAAAATGCAACCAATTTAGGGAATCTACTTTTCTAAATTGCTTCTAGTCTAAGTGTCCTGGAGCAGTACAACGGTGTGAATTTCCAGAGGCCAGGTCATTGGTCTGGCATATTTCTTAGTTCTAAGGACGTTGTAAGTTTCCTCTTTTTTCAATTTTTAAACGACTTCAAAAAAGGAAGGAATTCGACTGTATTTTTTTTGTACGTATGTTACGCGATAACTCCGGTATTTGTGAATCAATTTTCGTGATTCTTTTTTTGTTGGAAAGAGGGGAGGTACCCTCTTTGTGGTCCCATTTAATTTTGAAGAAAATCATCCACCTCTAAGGGTGGCTGTTCATGCATGAAGATTCAATTTTATAAATAGCGCCTAAATTTTATTATAAAGAGCAATTATTTTAATGGTTGATTTTGCTATTCTCCTATTCAAGGCGTTTTTCTCTCTCAATATACTTTGGAGTACTGAGAACCGATTTTCATTATCTCCTGTGTCATGTTCCGTATAGTGGCAAACTAGGGGAAGAATCCGGGTTTGCGAACTTTCCGGTTACCGATTTCAATAAAACTTGGTAATTATATGTAATTCCACGTACTTTTGAGGTCGGCTGTTTTAGTACTCTGTATTGAGATTATCACTACTTTGATATTTACTTTATTTACCACGTATTCTGGGCCTATAACCTGCTGGATTATAAACAGAAAACAAACCAGGCGTGTGTGTTTGGGTGTAATTAGTGGTTGTACATGTCTGTGTCCATGACACCCACGATACAGGTACCGTATTTTCATTCTCCGTCCAACATCCGTCCGAAACAATTACAGTCAAATAAGTAATGCTCTTAAAAAACGCATGATGCGAATGAAGCTTCATACATGACATTATCTTTTAATTTCTTTGAATTTTACTTACTTGACAGTAATTGTTTCGTTTTGAATAGAATAGACATTTATTGATTAGGATAGACGTTGATTGCCTTGGTAAAAAGGAATTTTTACTGTAGAAAAACAGCAGGATGGGTTACACGGACAAATATCAAAAAGGTTCTCACCAGCGACATCAGGAGGCTAATAACTACAACTTCACTTCGGTTTGCATACTTTTCAACAGAAGCTAGTATCCAAAAAACGCGTGGTCTCAATTGCCCAAATAGAAGAGTAAGGTATATCATAAATAACGTACACGTTCCTGTACAAACATAGGAGACAAAAGATAGCATGAAAGGCCAAGCGTCTGGCTCTCACCTTATTATAATGAGCGTGCGCGCCGACCGCCCGGTGCGCCGTACCGTTGTCCGCCGTGTACGTCTTTACCTGATGTTGGGTGTCAGTGGCGATCGTGCTGATCGCGGACGCGGAATGAGGCGGCATATCCCGCCGTTTCTTTCCACCTTTGTAGATATACTTTAATGGCCGCACAAGGCTGTGGAAGTAAGTCATATTTATTGAATATGGTTTAATCACAAATACTCACAATCTATTCAAAATAACATAACTACCACTAAACTATAACAAAGATTGTACTTTATTACCAAGCGCCATAAAACAAAAAAGGGGAAAAAATAAGCCCCAAATTAATAAATACGTCTTATATATCGCTGCTTAAGTCTCCTCAAGAAGAGGGTTAAGCCAATAGTCTGTTATGCTGAACCAATGAGGGTTGCGGACGTTACACGTTTTCCAAAAGTTATGAACCTTCTTTGACATGAAGGAACTACTAAACAAAAAAAAAGTGAAGAAATAGATTTCTCAGAGATGGCGCTACGGCAAAAAAGTCGTTAAAAACAAAAAAAAACAAAGATCTGCAACAAGCACATAGGAAAATTCGTAAGATCCGTTAGTTCGTTGCGTGGTTTAAAGAAGTTGAAAATGGTTCGAATCCAGCCGGATCAAAGGATTTTTTTCTAAGTTTTCGATCTTTGTATTAATAATGATTACAACAAATTAGTGGAGTAATTTCATAAAAATAATTCAATATCATGGGGGGCAAACAACGTGACATTCAATAAACTTAAAAATTAAAAAAATATACATCTCACCTCGGATACTGCGGTCCAAACTGCGCGTAGCAACAATTATACCAGCATCCTTTCGAGAAGGGATTGAACCCTCCGGTGAACTTTCCCGTCACCTGCTCGTTGGTGGTGCGACCTCTCGACACGAGCACCATATGGAACCCCGTGAGGCCGAAAATTGGTATTGCTAAGAGGGCAATTATGCCCATTATTACCATACTGGTTTGAGACGGTTAAGGAGTTTGATTCTTGGGAGATCTTTTAACAGTATCAATGGTTTTTATCGATTACCAACAGTATTTTCCTAGTACAGGAATCGTAGGAAATTCTCTGTACGCGATACACGCTACAATTGAGTTGTGTTATCTGGATCTTTGTCATATGTTTGAATAGTAATTTTGATGGTAAGGGACTCACCACACTCGATAGATATGGAACGGGCTTGAGCCGATTACGGATCACCACACTATATATATCTGCTGCCGTCCGCACGGAGCACCGGAGCGGAGTAATATGTGTGGCATTAGAACATCGTTTTACAGTGACGCGGATTGGTCCGTACGGAACACGTTCCGCGTGAACTCCGCACATGCCACCCGTGCATTCATTGTAGGCGATTGTCTTCCGTGAATATCCGCGCTAAATTAAATACTCAATTCAGAGCCCTGCAGATTCTACGCATGCTGATGGCCCGCAGGCGGACCTTACAGACCCTTACGGACCGTTCGCGCAGCTGTCAAACCAGCCTAACGTATTAAGTCGTGCGCCCGTGAAAGCCATCGGTCATTGACTCCGCCGTTCAGCCGATGTGAGCCATTCGGACATTTTCGAGTGAGTTTGGCAGCCGTCGACGAATTTCAGATCACATAATTCCGTAATGGCAAGAAGTTCATTCGTTGCCGGCGAAACGGCGAAAGAGCGAAAAAGACGTTGTGCGTTTTGCATCGGTTGGTACGAACGCGACTCGCCACAGGGTGGCAACGAATCGGCTTTCTGCAAATTTCCGATCGCGTCCATGTGCGTCGGCATCGACGAGGACTGATCCAGGTTTAGAAACAACTAGCGCGAGGGCGCGCGAACGGCTGCGTTAACGGCGAATCGGCTTAATGCGAGTAGTATATTGAACACGATCGCGTCAAGACGAATCCGCGTTAACATAATGAGTTTGGTGACTCCCTAATGCGATTTCGTGTCGTTAAGTCTGGTGACCACCTAAACCAGTTAACTTTAACTTCAAATGGCGGCACTAGTATCGACTCTTAACATCAACGTTATATAAAATTATCTTCGTATTTTTGTCCCGTCACTAACACACTGTAAAACACATGATAAAAAAAGCATTTTCTTCTGTCCGTCTTTTTTGAAGATGTAAAATGACAGTTCATTGTGCAAAAGTGTTGCCCGCTTGCGAGCAGCTAGTGATTGCAGTCATAATTATTCTATCGATTGAATATTGGTCACACTTATGGAATAAATAGTTGAACAAGTTTAATTTTAATTATTTTCGACTCATTATTCATCCAATCACTGAGCACAGGCTCATTTGAATCATCAAAAAAAAAAATAGAAGGCCGTAACACAATTCACCATTTTTGGCAAAATTTTATCTTCTTTCACAATCTATCGATAAAAGTATCGACAACAACTACATAACTTTGTAAATTTTTATGAAAACTGGCAACCCTACATATGTCATTTTACTCCGACTTAGAAAAAGACAGACTATACAAAGGTTAATGATTAATGGCCATTACTGCCCTCACCTTAGCATGTCCAGAAAATTCATTTTTATAATAGTCTAGAACCCATCAAAGCAGCAGGTTATTTTCAATGAAAAAAAAATGTATTTTTCTTGAATTTCCGGTTCAGTATTAATGGCGACAAAAGGTGACAGATTGCAGTTTTTATTGTGCACGGTATTGCTAGATGTGTGAGTTGCAATATATCTCATTTTTAAATAAAAATTTTCGAAGAGATCACTACTAGGCGGAAGACCTTCCCTACTGAAGCGCAACTGGATGCTGAAATAACAGCTGGGTATTTTTTCCCCAATATACTTACATATGGAACGCAATTCTACAAGTTTGTTCTATTATATTAGACAGTTATAGGATAGGAAAAGTAGTTTTTTTGTTAATAAATATATAAAAATCCTACGCTTTAAATGAAAATCAAGAACGAGATTCAGAATCTTGGTCTTGTGTACTTTAAAATGCGCCATGTGTAGCTTATGGACATACCAGTTTAAGGTTAGGGCAAGCCTCCATATTGCGCCGATCCTTTACTCGTTTTGTTTGATCACACGTGTGGATCGTCAAAAAATCGAGCAAATCTGTAGACACCTCAAGAGTAGAATAACGAAATTAACTTCAGGGGCTCGGCCCAAAAGTCCCTGCTTTTTGGCATGTCAATATAAAAGTTCCAAAAGTATTATTCATTCAACAATAAGTTGCGTATGGATAAAGGATACGATACGATAGGCTCGACTTGCTTGAATGAGCCGTTGTGCATAACGAAATAGAGGCTGAGCCCGAAAATGCTCAGCATGTGAATGGACAGAGAGATGAGGAAGAAGAAAAAGAAGCGATAGTTGCGCCGCCCGATGCAATTGTTCACCCACGGACAGTGGTGATCGAACGTCTGCAACAAATGTTTAAAAATTAATAACAAAATATTAAAGAAATACTAAATTCTTTCACGACTCTGGATCTAACTCCATCGCCCTCTAGTGACACAACTATATTGCCGTATAAAATTCAGAAAAAAAAGTCCGATTTTATAAATTACATACAAAATTTTATTAAAAAAATATATTGTAAAATACTTCACTCACTGCAGCGACCTCTAGTAACCTCACTGTATAGCCAGAATAAGGTTTAGAAGAAAATTATTAATATATTCAACGGTTACTTTGCTGAACTTAGCGTTAATTTATTAATAAAAATGGTAGTAAATTAATTCGCTGCTCCGCGAACACTGTGAGTAAAGGAATCCAGTTCTTGACAGTCTCCTTCAAAAAGTCACAAATTCATTTAAGGGGCAACCTGTACGCTGCTATAATCCGTGGTAGTGGGGTCACTACCACGGATTTTTGTCAGTTTAGTTCCGGCAGGTATTCTCGATTAAGATGTTTGAAATAAATATTGTAAATGATAAATGTAATTAAATATATATTTAGAAAAAGCAACCCCTAGAGATTCTTGCTCATTCCTCTCAGGGAAATCAACCTTACGAATGAGCAGTAGAGTTTAATCAATGAGAAGATTTCAAGTGTAATTGCTTACCTATGAAATAAAGATGACTTGAGTTTGACTTTAAAGTTAAATTGTGCAAAATAGCTGCGCTTGTGTTGGATATTTTTATCCATTTATCCTGTCGAGGCCTCATAAGAAAGTGAATCACAAGTCAGGATTATTTTTGGTGGTGGTGATTATTATTATTTTTTTTTACTTATTTATCGTAACTTAGGATTAATAACTTTATTATGACCCCTACATTAGGCTACGCCTGTCTCGTGGGATGCACAGCAAGTACGAAAGAGTAACTAGGCTTAACAGCAACAAGAATTAAGTGAAAAGAGAGAAACATACAAAAAATAATAAAAAGAAATGCTACTTGCATGCTTACTTTAAAACAAAAACCAATTAAGTAATTATTAAGAAAGTAATTTTATCTTTGTGATTGTAGTTGCGTTTGTGTTATTTATTTTATTAATTTGATGCAGATATTATATATGATGCTAATTAAATAAAGTACTCAACACAAGCGCCGCTATTTTGCACGATTTGACACATTCACTAGGATCGCGATGTAGCAAAGTAAGTTACTTCCTTTTTGTCAGAACAAAATGACGAATTTTGTAAAAAATATAAAATACTTCACGACTGTGGACTGAACTACAGCGTCCTCTAGTGACGTAAAATAAAACCAGTATAAAGTTTAGAAGAAAATGTCAAACATTTTCGTAAACAATACCTTTGGTTTCAAGTTCCGAAGTACAGAATTGCTTTCAGAAATTTATAGAAATTCTCTTTAGACTGGCTTTTAAGTTTCAAGGCTTCCTTGACATCGCTGTTTGATTTAACGTAAAAAGACACATGGACAGAGGCACTCAATTTGATGAAACGAACCTCTATGCAATGATTGCAGACGGAGCAGTGCGAGCACCTAGGCGGCCTGTAGAATTTGCATGTGACGCACCATTTCATGCGCACCGTTATGCCGTTGATCTCTACACTGCGGTACAGCGGTGCTCGGAAGTCATCTTCTCGATCCTCGTCAGGTGGAGCTGGGAGCAAATTTTTTACCTACTATAAAAAGAGATGTCCCCAATTCGTTAGTAATCA